CAGTGCCAGCTATACGGACTTATACAGCTCTGTACGCGCTAATCTGGCCGAAAAAGGCCTGCTGTTCGGTAGATTTTGTGTATAACCCTGTATAACTCACCCAAGAGTGCCAAGCTGGCTTCAAAATCCACTTTATAGAGTTCAATGGTGTAATTAGTTGAAAAAGTGACGAATTTAAACCTAATCAAGTTAAATCTGTACTGTATACACTGGAACAAGTCGTGATTTGTGCTGACTCAATCCAGCGCTGGCCGGCTTGGAACCTGCAAATATCATCAAAAATCAAGGATCATGGCGAGCAATAGTGACAATGCACTCAGGAGGCAATACAACAGTATCTATATTATAAACAACAATTAATCAAACTTGCTGCTGTAGAAGTGATTCATCAAAGCATTTCAACTGTTTCATCTGACATACAATCTATGTACTCTGATTCATTTCATGGATTTTAATTTACCACTCAGTTGTTGGATTCTACCTTCTACCTACTGTGTATTAAGAATATGATATAGATGAATGCCAGTACATTCATTGCACTGATTGATTGGCTGAGAAGTAATACTGATATTCGTGAATCTGAAGCAATACATATCATAAAGATTGAGCAGAAGGTTCTCATATTTTTGTATATTACAACACAGCGAATGAGCTATCGGAACACTGCAAAGATATTTCATCATTCATTAGATACAATATTCAAGTAAATACAAATGATAGAATACTCATCAAATTGATGTTATACTAATAACTTGTATAAAGTCTTTCATGAGGGTTTGGAATTGCTCTGTGTACTCTATGAGCATTATGTCAAGATGCTTGAATCCTCAATGGAATATAGCAAGAAAGCTCTTAATTCAAATCCACAATATTGACTTTTCTTCAAAGGATGTATTGAAGTTCTAGATAGAATTCATTTATCTATTTCTATTTCTTTGAATTAGCAATCTGTATGATGAAATTGAAAGAGATGGATATCTCAAAATGTTCTTACTGCCTGCGATCACGATATGAACTTTATATATATCTACTCTGAAATGGAAGGATCTTCTCATGATAGTAGAGTTCTTTCACAGGCACAGAAAAGGAATCAATTTAGAATCACATTATCTGACTGCTACTTTTTAACAGATGCTGACTATTTATAGAAATTCAACTTGATGTTAATTTCATATTCAGAAATTTGATATCATCTAAAAAAATGAGAAAAAGCGAATTCTCAATCTATCAATGCTTCAGAGCTATATAATCTTCGCCATGTGAGCTTGCAAGATGTAATTGAGTGTGTGTTTGAAGTGTTTAAACAGCGATTTCAAATCTATGATCGATGTTGAGATGAATTCTCTATAATAACTCAAATTGACCTGGTTTTTGCATTAGCAGTGGTTCATAACTTCATGAATCACTATAAAGAAATGGATGAGCTTACTCAATATAATGAGAATTCTGATATATGTATGTATGTATAGGTTTAACGTCCCGGAGAAAACACGGGCAGCGCCCGTGTTTCAGAAGCCTCCCGAAGGGCATGGAGACGTGCTACGCTAGAGAGATTTCTATGTACACAGAGAGAAAAAACAGAATCCAGGTGGCAACTCTTGAGAAGACTCAGCTCATTGCAAAGAATTTTTCTGAGCTGCGCATCCACTTCTGGCCCGACGTATAGCCATTCATAGTGGGGCTATAGTGTGGTTCCCCGAGGGGACCGCCGCTGCCGTACCTGGAAGGCTTTATAGTGAGCAGAGACGGATACCTCTCTCAGTTGATCAGAAAGCTGTCTGTGCTTCTAACATCAGAAGAAAGACAGACAAGATAAATAATGAAGGAGAGAGCACTGAAGAAGGTTGTGATAGGAAAAGAGTAGAGAATGACAGAGAGAGCAAAGAAAAGAAGGAAGAAGAAGCATTTGAGCCGATAGAGACAAGGGCAAACGAGAGGAAAACAAAGCACAGTACGCGTAGATACAATGCCGGCAGTCAAAACCATATCAGCTGAGTCAGACACGTAGACTGTACTGATTACACCACAGCTAATTGAGATAGATGAGCCTAGTTGTGCTATCTGTACTGTCTGCATAGACTGTGATGTCTCTGGCAGTTGCACTAGCTACCGTGGGTGTACTCAGCAGGCCGGCCTCGTAGAACTGCTGCGGGGGTTGAAACAAGTTAGTGAAGTATGTGGCCACACTAATAACATCACTGACAGAGAACACCAGCAATAGTACGTGATAAACACTTAGAGAACAACTTACTTAACATCAGAATATTTGAAAAAGCTCATTTCAACAAAAAAGAGAGGAAGAAAAAATGAAAATTTTATTGAATTAGAAATAAAAAATCACAGCAGAAGAGCAAAGAGTTTTAATGATGATCAAATTAAAAAAAAAAAAAATTTTTCAAAAAAAAAGGAATTCTTTTTATTTCTCTACATGTAACCTCTAGTGATCAAAGAATCCATCAATTCTACCTTATTAAGAAATTGATAACAATGTGTATACAAGCTATTGAGGGGACGCGATCAATACACTGCTATCAACAAACAACACTTACAATATAGAAATGCAAACATCTACTAGCAAGCAATCTATACAATTGCTAAGAGCAGCTCTTATAAAAAAGAGGGGCAATTATAATGCACTCATTTATTATTTTCTTATTATTATATTATCTTTATTTATATTTTTATCTATTCTTATCTCTTTTCATTATACTCTTACTATTGCTATTTCTATATATATATATATATATGAATATATGTATTTTGCACATCTTCTTTCTCTTTCTTTTTCTTTTTAGTGATTAATTATATTATTACTATTACTACTATAATTACTATTATCTTTTACTACACTATATACTATCTTCTACTATTCACTCTTCACACTGTCATCACCCCTCACAAGTACTCACTAATAGATTATTTTATCACGAGCCTCTCAATATATTGTATTGCTCTCGCGTAATTAATTTAATAATAATGAATGAACGTTATTCTTCTACATAACCGTAGTACCCTCTAACATAATTACAAATCATATGCTCAGAGTAATTTTCATCAGAAAGTTTAAGAAGAAACGGTTCATTCTTTTATGAAAATTGTTGAGATTTTTATAAATTCTTCAAATTATTCAACTTTGACTTTCAATTATATAATTATTATACATAACGTAGTTAATCGATAAGCGAGCGAGCCACATAAGCAAGCGAGCCACTTCCCACTTGCCATACAATAAGAATGCTCTTCAAGTCCTGAATACAACCCAAAATTAACAAACTGATATTATCAATTATTTCCTGTACGCTTAGAGTATGTACGGGTAGTATGCCCAATAATCCCACATACACTACACTGTGGTGCTGCACGTCTTCGTGGTTGGGACTCAGCAGCCTCAACCACCCCTATTTCCCGTTCATTGATGCTTCGTACGCGATCCAAGCCTTCTTTCACCCCCAAAGCTCCCTCTTGGGCTACATATATACGGCCTCTTTCTCGCTTTCTCTTTTATTTAGCATTTGTAGCCCTTAACTCCCTATTTTCAGCTGCTATAATAGCAGCACTATGCATTGCCATTTGACATACCTTGACCAGCTGATTTAGGGCACGATCAGTTGGGTTGAGTGGGCTCTGCGTACGGTGCTTAATATATCCTTTAACTTTCTTAGTCTGCTGCTCTAGCTGGTGTATATTATGTGGTGTAGCAATGGCCCAGGAGGCCTGAGAGCTATGAGAGGTCCCAGGTGGGGTGGGGGTATGCATTGTGGTATTAAGGCGCGAGAGAACCTGCTCAGGATTGTATGGAACCAGTCCAGCTGCCCTGAAACTGCTCTTGATGTTGTTCTCAGTCAGAGCCTGCATCTGAGCTGCAGGATATAGGGCCAGAAACTCCTCCTTGTCAATATGATTGATCCCAAGCCGCATCTGATTCTCCACCTGTCGTCCATATGCAGTTTTTAATGGGGAGAAGCACCCAACATCCAGTGGCTGAAGAAGATAAGAGGAATGTGGTGGCATGTAGAGAGCAATGATCTGATTCTCAGAGCAGAATTGATCAAATTCAGCTGAGGCATGGCTTCAGTGCCAGTCTAGAATCAGCAGTCGGTATCTGCCCTTTGTACGGGGTAGAGTCTCCTTGTTGAACACCTCTTTCAGCCAGTACAAGCCCAGCTGGTCAGTGGTCCAGCCATTCTCACTGACTCCAATCACCCAGTCATGCGGCAGCCCTTCAGTCTCATACCAAGAGGACTGATGCATCTTTCCCTTGAGGATAATCATTGTACGGAGAGCCCAGCCCATTGCATTGACCCCAGCAATAACAGTCATCCATTCCCGATCTCCAGGCTGTACAAGCTTGGGATTCCTAGCTCTTTCAGATCCAGTCACCACTCTGACAGTCCCAATAACCCCCATCTGAAAGCCTGTCTCATCAAAGTTGTAGATATCTCTTCCAGAATCCCATACTTTGCAATGGTGTTTTGTACAAGCTTAAACCACCCACGGATAACCTCAGGATCCTCACATAGTGCACGTTGATGGTCGTACTTGCGGGAGAACTTGGATTTCAGCTCTTCATAGCGATTGACAAAGTTTCGTACCCAGCATTCACCCACTGTGGGTGAGGGGTTGATTCCTCGACTGGCAAGAAGGAGATTGGCCATTTCTCGTACAGCTGCAACCCGGGGTGGCTGACCTCGCTCATCCATGGCTAGAATCCATTGAACAAGTGATTCTTCTTCTGTAAGGCTAAGTTTTCGGTTCTTTGGGGGAATGTCCACGCGTGCTGTACGACCAGAGACACGGTGAGTGAGGGTTGAGCGAGGGACATCATACAGCTTTGCTGCAGCTCGTATGCTTGAAATTTGATCATTTTTAAGTGCTTGAATGGCTAAAAGAAGCCTTCCTTCTTGAGCAGAGACTTTATTTCTTTGAGTGGTTGACATTTTTGTTGAAAAGCATTCTTGTTGTATGGCAGGTGGGAAGTGGCTCGCTTGCTTATGTGGCTCGCTCGCTTATCGATTACGTTAACTATTTTAACACTAAATAAATAATACCGGATAAATATTCCTGCGCTCCCGATCTAGAAACCCAACTCTGAACCATCTCCCATCTCTCCAACAAGAAGCAGAACTATCAGCTGCATTCATTATCTCTGGTTGTATTCTCCTCACCGACATCATGCGGTTCCTTACTTCCATACCGAAACGACTATCTAATTTCGCAACCAGCCGCACTTGTGTCTATCGCTCTCTACATACCAAGCAGGCAGAATTTATCACCCTTGACTATAAAGGGTCCCTCGTGACAGAGAATGTCAACGTTGATTTGGGGCATGCCCACGAGGCTTTCACAATGCTCCCAAAAGAGATTGGTTATGCTTTCCGAGCAGGCATCCACTCAAACAGCAGATCTCTTTCTGTCGATTCATTGGCGAGAGACTCAGACCAGTGTCCCCTAACTTTCTATCATGGTTCTCGATACTTTGCATATGGTAAGTCATGTCGGCAATTCTGCGTTTCCTAAATAACACCCAAGTTTCCAGAATCGTTACCATATCCTCGGCTTGTAATTCCTCAGGACCTTCCACGTCAGTCTGATGCCAATACAAGCCCCGCCACTCTCCATACCTTTGGAGCTACTCATACCATCACACTGGACGGGACTTTCGATGGTAAGGCCCAATCAAGTATGAAGCTTTTTTCCGTTTGCTTACTCCAGCCAGCAAAATTTACAAATCAGCTTCGAGATTCTCTCCGTGATCTGAAGGGGCCTCTTGATGAGCTCAAAGACAAGTAGGACTGTGACAGGAATATTTATTGAAGCACCAGCACAATTTTTTTGGTGGCGATTGTATATAGGTTGATATAAAATTCAAAGCCTCATGGTTGTCATTGATGTACGTATAGCAGTTACCCGCCCAATAACTCTGCCGTCAGTGACTTGCGTGGCTATGTCCGTCCATTCATACATGAAAAATGATCCATTGGCAGAATGAGATTAAAAAAAAAAAAAAAAGAGAAGATATAGACATGACAGTCACAACATATACCCGCCTTAATACTCGATTGTCTCATCCCGCCATGCCAAAATATCTTGAGTCCAGCTTGCTATGGGAGTCGCAACACTCTCGTAATAGCTGCCCAGCTGTTCGCCGGTCCATTGATTGGTTGTAACCGCAACGTGAGCGTTTGCAATGCCTTGATTGACACTATCATGAGCCATTGGAATATCCTGCAGCTTATAACCGTTGACCCTCAAAAACATGTCGGCTGCTAGGAGAGCAGCTCTTTTGTTGCCGTCCATAAAAGCGTGATTCTTCATAATCTTCTCGGATAGATTGGCAGCTAGCTGAAAGATATTTTCCTGCTGCGCATAGTGTTTGACATTCATTGGAGATGCGACTGCTGATTCCAACATAGCCGATTGGGTCGGCCCTACATTGGCAATTGACGTCTTATAGAGGCGTATAACTTGTTCAGCAGTAAGAAATCGGAACTTTTTCGTAGCCACAGAGGTAGCCATTCTGAACGAGCAAGATGGTGCGAGAGGATGAAGAGTTTCAGCTTGATGGAATGAGGTATCTGGAGAGCGGTTGATTTAGAGAGAATTATAAGATTTTGAAGCCTGACGCTGGATGATCCTTTGGGGTTATTATTCAATGGATTTCAGAAACATTATCACCATCTCCCGTTTCTGCCACCCAGCTTGGGCTATGACTCGTAGTTAGGCAGACATCACTCAGTGAGTAGGCAAAATGGCAGCCTAGTCGCGAGCCTGTGCACTGCCTACCATCCACTATCAGACGAATCCCTGGCGGGGGCAGGAAGGAAATGGAGCCCGGGAGCGCCCAGAAAGCATTTCAAGAAGACCTAGATAGGAATTGATGGGGCGGGCGACACTTTAAAAGTTGGTATGCGTCGTCGTACCGTTTGCCTCAGACGAAACCGCCCTGGACTCTATCCCCATCTTACCGCCTTCTCCCCTGCCACACATCTTGGGAATCACGAGCGCAAATCTCTTGAAATGTCCTTCCTCAGGCTGCCTGACCAACCTCCACCTGAGATGATGACATGCCCGATATTCGCAGGAACAAGATACGGGCAGCAATATCTCCATCCTTAGGGATCTCCATTAGGCGACCTTCTCATGATGCGTGGCGGCGTTCACGTCTCAACTAACGGATACTGGTGCATATCACGCATACATTCGAATATCTACGTAGTAGTACAGTTATTCATTTGCACATAAGTAGAGTATGGCAGAGATTTTGAGCTTCACCCAAGACATACGTTCTAATCCTACGTTATTCACTAAGAAAATGCATACCAATAATTACATGTACCCGATTCACTCAAGATTAAGCAAATTCCCGATCTCGTTGCCTTCCTTCAGAATCCGGCGGGCCACTTTGGCATCGACTCCCATGTCCTCCTAAACCAACATCTCCAGCAGTTCGGGAACCAAGACCTCCTGGGCATACACCACAGTCCCATACTTCGACACCACACTATCGATTCCGGCCAGTGAGTCGATGGCATCTTTAAAGTGACACACGACATGCGCTGAGTTGAGGGGAAGGTCAGTGAAGAGGTTCCTCGGTGGGTTCGCGGGGTTAGGTTTGGGGGGGGATGTTTCTTCACTCACAGGAGCTCATGGCCTCTAAGGCCATAGTAGCCAGTGCTGTGCAGGACACTCCGGGAGAGGATCTTCCTGCCATGCTTCCGCACTTTCTTGTGCACGACACTCTTGTAGCGGGAGCGGTACCCGGAATCATCGAGGATCCGGCGCAGACGAGGATGGAATTGAGTCAACCGATCATCGAGGCGGTCCCACGCAATGATGGGATAGTGAAGTCGGGACCACTCGCGCCGCGCGGTTTCCTTTCGGTGGTTCTCGCAGAACCGCAGCTGGTCGCGGACCCGCATGCGATTGTTGGCGGCATTGAATGCGCTGGAAGCCTCCACCGAGACGACAAAATTCCACACGGGCACCATGAGGCCCACTTTTGAGGACGGAGATGGTGTGCGGGCCTTCCCATTTGCCATGCCCCGTTCTTCTGCTGGTTGGAGTTGTCCCCCGGGATACCGAGTGGAAATTTCGAAGGGCGTGGGCGGCTTAGATGTCGGAAGGGGCTCACCGGCTGATGCACGACCTAGTAGTTCGCAAGAAGAGCAGGGCATCAGTACCGCATGCAGCACACCTCCTAAGCATCATTTTTCAGGCTCACGTCACACATAGCTGAGGGGTTACAAACGGGGATCGGGTGGGCGCGCTTACAGTTCCACTCTTGCCTCCGCTTGTTGGTGGGGGGGTTGCTTGCGTGCGTATTCTGAAGTTTTGTGTACCATCGCTGCCGCAAGGAGCCGAGTTGTCTGTGTGGAAACCGCTCCTCGATCTCCGTCCAGGAGAAGCCGTCCTGCTTCAGGGCCACCAGGCGGGCCTCCTCCTCTCGAGTCCAGCGACGTCTTCTCCCGCCCAGGCCCTCGACCTCCCGCTCGTCGTAATCCCTTTCGGTGTCAGCCGCGGCTGTCGTCTCGCCCGCGAGATCTGAGGCGGTCATTGGACGGCGCATGACTATCTCGAAAACGACGTGGGCCACCCTAGATGACAGCATCACAGCTTCCCCTCGGGTCAACAACGGCAGAGGGCAACTGCGCGTCTCGTCACCAATAGGAGGTCGGGAGTGGGCGTAAGTGTCTGGTCCATGATTTGTGTTCCCGGGGGGCGGGTAACGGTCCTTCGCAGTCGTCGTTCGCACCCTGCAGTCCTCCCGTTCGACACCTTCACGACCTGCAGCGGCTGCTGCTCTTGGGATCCGAAACCGGGGACGACGCGACGCAGGGCTGGATGGCTGTGTGGGAAGCCTGCGACGCTTCGAAGGTGGTTTCATTGGGCCATCCTCTTCGCTGCTCGCGCGGTAGTCGCCATCCGTATCGTCGGAGTGTGCGCTCGAGCCACCCGTGTCGGACATGGTCGTGTCGTCTTCGACACGCTGCACCGGTTTCCCGGGGAGCTTCCAGTCCTGGGTATCGGGGACCTCACGCCTCGATCGTGCACGAGTCTTCTGTTGGCGGGTCCGGAGTCGGTTGCTTAGCCCATTCTCGTACCGCATCGAGCCTGATATGGCTTCTTCGAGGCGATCCGCGATGACCGGCACTTCGACGGCGACCATGGGGTGCATATCACCGGTACCAGCCCGGGGCCGGCGTTGTCTCTTGAGTTGGGTAGAACGCACACCGGCGATGCCAGTGCCGGCTTCGTTACTTCCACCATCCGCCTTGGGAGAGTGAGATATGGATGTTGCACGGCTGGAAGTGTCTCGTTTGGCGGGAGACGTGAAGGTGCTGTCAACAGCGGACCTGTCCGTAGCGCTGTCATCAGAGTCAACCGTGATCGGCGGATTGAAGGGCAGAGGGTCATCAGAACTGCTTCGGGGCCATTCTTGTCTATGCGATGTATCCTGATCCGACCCCGGCTCCAAAAAGCCAGCGTGTGGAGTCGAATCCAGAACGGGCGTTGAACTGCCGTCGCCAGGAAGAGCCTTTGTGCCGGTTGATCCAACCAGGCCGCATTCTACAGCGGGCGAAGGAACCGGCAAGGATTCGTCGTCCTTCTCCTGGCCTCTGTCCTCATCCCCGTCAGGAAAACCTAGGAGACGCCCTGGTGTTAGAAACCGGTCTAACCAGATAGAACAAAAAGAAAGGGAAAGAGAGAGAGAGAGCGGACCGGCTACCCACCGTGAGAACTGTGCCTCTCATCCTGCAAATACCGGCTCGAGCTTTCGACGGCTGCATCACTGGGGATGGGGACGCGGAGAGAATCAAGTCCCGCGAAGAATTCATCAAAATCATTCGGGCGAGTATCCCCTGCCCGAGACTGGACCTCGTGTTGATCTTTGAAGGGGGGGGAAGGCGGAACTTGCAAAGGACGACTGGAGGGAGGAGGACGAGGGGGTAAAGGGTGGGAGAGTGTTTGAGGGCTGATGGAAGGTGCAGGGACCGTCTGGAGAGATTGGGATGCAGAGGGTATAGGGTAAGGGGGTTGATGACTTGCGGGCATGGGTCTTGAAGGGGGGAGAGTCGCGGGGTTAGGGGACTGAGGAGTTTACGAGGCCCTGGGGGGGGATTGGAAGGGGTATAGATGTTCCAGTCGCCGCACATGTTCGCAGAAGAGATGGTGGTCTCGCGTAGTTCGTCGGAACGGCAGTGGTGAAGCCACGGGGGGAAAGCAGACCATTTTATCTACAGTTTTCGCCGCTCTGGCGATAGCTCCATCCTCCCTGTCGCTCCACATAAGCCCCGTCGGCGAGAAAAATCTACACCCGCTGAAAAGAAAACCAACGAGTGTCAGGCTCTCCAAATCAAACATCGTCGGCCACCGCACACGTAACCGCAGAATGTAACCCAAGCAGGTGCGAGTAGCGGCCAGCCACTTCCATCGCCTGTCGGGTGGACGCAGAAGCGGCGCCACAGCCTCCTCCCGTCCCGGTCCAATTTCGCTCGAACGATCCAGGCATGGAAGATGCGAGGACCATGGACGAATCGGATGCGAATCCCCAAAGGAGAGTGAGAACGAGCGGCACACGACCGCTGTGCACACATGCAGCTATAGCCTCGCTTACGCGGCCTCCTCGCGCCTTCGGCCCTGCGACTACCTCCTCTATCACACCATCCTTGCATCTCTACATGGCGTACGCGGCGCAGACACGCTCCGGAAAGCCCAATGCGAGGATGACGGGACGATGCGACTTCAGCTCGCTCGCGTACCATATCGCAGGGATAAACTGCAAGCTCGCCACACCGGAGCTGAAACTGGGGTCCTTCGAACCACGGGCAGAAGGAAGGCCGGAAACACTGCATGTGATCGATCGCCCCTTGTTGTTATTTCTTGGCACGACACATAGGCACCAGCAAATAACAGGTCGAAGAACGAGTCCAAGGGTCGGGGGAAGAATGGCGCCGGTTCAGCGACGCCGCAGTTGGGATCAATCATCCATTGCTACCGGGCTGCACGGAAATGAGGCATTTTTGCCATTGGCCGCTGAGCAGGAGGGCAGGAGGCACGTCCGAAGCATGAGAGAGGGGGTTACAGAGGGACCGGGGGGACTGTGGGTGGGGTTGGCCAGCTGCTGATGGAGGTGATAAGGTATATTTTTTTGTTTTGTTTTTGAAGATCGCATGTATCACTTCAACGCGAGAAGGGAGTAGAGAGTGAAGGAGCAGTAAGAGGAGCGGAAGAAGGCGTAAGGGCAAAGAACACATACGGCGTACGCCGTATGTGGAAAGGAACCCTAGGCGGGTTCGATGCTGCTGCCAATGCCGCAGAGGCCTTCTTCGACCGGCGGCGATCAAATCGGGGTGATGGACGGCTGGGAGGCGGCGAAGAGGCAGTGGGTCGGAGGGGACGAGGCGGCAGGGGCAGAGAAGAGAAGGAAAGGAGATGGATGAGAAAGGGAAATAAGGAGGCAGAAGTGCGTGTGCGAGGGAGGCGGTCGAAGCAGCTTTATATAGTCGCGACAGATGATGTCGGAGCGTAGAAGGGTCGACGGTGACCGGCGGGTCAACACCATGCCCGAACGGGGCGGCGCCAGACCGCATCGGACCGCGCCAGACCACACGCGGACGGCGCCGTCTCCGGCCGCGCGCTCGCCGTCGCATCCTTTACTTTATACAAAGCATACAGAGTTAAGATTGAAATTGAGAGAGAAGTTTGAATTGAGACAATTAAATTTAAAACTTTTATTCAATACAAAAACTGGAAATAAATTCTTGATTGAATATTTGAAAGAATCAAATATTGTTACAAGATTTCAATTGAATAGCTTGATCTGATAATGAATTCAATTTTTATTTTTTATTTTATTTTTTATTTTTTTGTTTCTATGTATTTACTTTAATTTTTGTTTTTGTTTTTATTTTTATTTTATTATTTTTATTTTGAAATTTGTTACATTTTGATTATTTTTGATTCTGATTTGTTTTGAAAAGTTTAATTTGTGAATGCTTTCTTTTCTTTTAATAGCTGTTGTTTTTTATACTCTTTATTTCATTTATTTTAAATTGAATGTATTGATCTGTTGTCATTCTTTTGACATTGTTTCTTAAATTGAATAATTTGAATAATTGTTTGATTTTGAGCTGGAATTCTGCTATTGCATGTATTAAATTGACTTTATATATTAGCTTATTCTTAAGTTGAAAAATCCTGAAATATTTCAGGTAGATGTCATAGTCACTGACTGCATACATCTATAATGGAATAGTAATAATAATAATACAATTTTTCATCAATTATTCTTTTTTTTTTTAAAAAAAAAAAAACAAAATCTTAAGAGGAAAGAGGTAATAAGATTAAGTAAACAGAAGAATTAGCAAAGAAGGGAAGGAACGTCTTTACTGCTCACTCTTTAGATGTCGACACCACGTGAGACTGATGATTGATCTCGATTTCAGTTTGCCTTGTTTGCACAGTTAGTATCTTCGGATATCTACATACTCCGTACACTGAACTGCAAAGTTGGTGGTTGAGGACGCCACGATTCCAACAATGCGATCACTGTCTCGTTCTGCGCTGCGATTATACGTTTGCCCGTCATGCAGGCGTGACCTGCAGTTGGGGAGACGAGGGTTCTCTTCATCTTCTAAACTTCTTCAACGTCCAGATATCTATGACATTGTTTGTGTCGGCGGAGGACCAGCAGGTTTGGGCCTTGTGGCAGCTTTGCGTACGGATATGGCCGTATATATCTCTTGTTCACATGAATCTTACGCTAATTGTCACTTTCCTTTCCAGGATCCTCTCCAATAACCTCGAAGCTTAGAATTGCTCTAATCGAAAGCCAGGATCTGTCGAAATCCAGATCTTGGAATTTAGAACCCACGCAGTTCTCCAACCGCGTAAGCAGCCTCACTCCTTCCTCTGTGTCATTCCTCAAGGACGTTGGAGTATGGGAACATGTGGATGTTGCGCGAGTGCAGCCATACCAGGAGATGAGAGTTTGGGATGGAGAAACGGGTGCCAGTATATCATTTGACTGGTCCCTCGAACCTCAGTCAGCACAAATGCAAAATATCGCGACAATGACGGAGAATTTGAATTTGACCCGCGGCCTAATCGCATGTATAGAGTCATCTGGGGGTGAGGTGTCCATTTTCTCTAATACATCAGTGTCTGCGATTACCAATGGGGAAGATTACACCGATGGCCCGGACCTTTCCTCCTGGCCTGTTCTGACCCTCAAACATACCTCCCCAAATTCAAACCTTCCCCAGCCACCTGCCATTGCTGCTCGCCTCCTTGTAGGTGCAGATGGGATAAATAGCCCAGTCCGATCATATGCAGGTATATCGACAGATGGCTGGGACTACGACCGCCATGGCCTTGTGGCTACTTTGAACATTTCCCCGCCCAGCCAAACACCTGGCCCACCTCTCCGGACCGCGTATCAACGTTTCCTTCCTGGACTGGGAGGCCCAATCGCCTTACTCCCACTCCCCGGCAACCACGCTACCCTGGTTTGGTCTACTACCGTGAGAAATGCAGCGTATCTTAAATCCCTTCCC